CTTCTTCCTCCCCAGCTGTGGAGATTAGCTATATGCAGAAATAGTTCTTTTAGTCATGCATCAGGGAAGTGACTTTATATATCTTATCACTGCCAGAAAACTTGCTTGTGGTAAATTATTTGAAATAAAATTATTATTTGGGGTAGACATTTCTCTAATATTTACAATAATTAGCTTATATTATAGTAACCAATTAGCTAAGCAATTCTCTGGTGTTTCAAACCAAACTGATCTAGATTCAGATTCTGGTTCAGCTCTTTACTAGCTGTGTGGTCTTAGGTAGTGACTGAAACTTCCTCAGTGTCAGTTTCAAGAATAATAAAATTATACAATAATACCACTTTCACAGAGTGTTTTGAGAGTAGAGATAATTTATATGAATCTCTTAGCATAGTACTCAGCATTAATAGGCCTTCCATCAGTAAGACATGATTATTAAGATATTATAGCACATTATGTTACCTTGAAGTACTTTCTCAACTATTGTATCCTGGTCTTTCATCAGGATTAACATTGTACAAAGGATATGACTCCTATCTATAAATATAGAAATATTAATTTTTTCTACATATTTTAATTTCCACCTGAGTGCTATTTTCCTAGGGTGGTCAAAACTAACTTGAGTCAGCGGGTGCGGTGGCTAACGCCTGTAATCCTAGCACTCTGGGACCCGAGGCAGGCGGATGCTCGAGATCAGGAGTTCGAAACCAGCCTGAGCAAGAGCGAGACCACCCCCTCCCCCCGCCCCCCGGTCTCTACTATATATAGAAAGAAATCAATTGGCCAACTAATATATATAGAAAAAGTTAGCCGGGCATGGTGGCGCATGCCTGTAGTCCCAGCTACTCGGGAGGCTGAGGCAGGAGGATTGCTTGAACCTAGGAGTTTGAGGTTGCTGTGAGCTAGGCTGACGCCACGGCACTTACTTTAGCCTGGGCAACAAAGTGAGACTCTGTCTCAAAAAACAAAAACAAACAAACAAAAAAACTAACTTCAATCAATTTGGACACCCTCCCACCACCACAATTTTCTGGAGCAGATCTAATTTCTAGGCTTTGAGTAGTTGTATATCTGCTCCTTAAGCCATCTGTTCATCATGCGGACCTCCATCATTAGTACCCACAGCTTATTGCTGAGATGTCTCTTGTGCACGTGAATTTGGCTCCTTCAGATCCAGTGGCTTTTTCCAATACTCTCAGGTCAAGCTTGGAGAGGGAGTGACTAGGGATTTGAGGGGATCATGGGAGTCTTTCTGCTGCATCTGAGCCACAGGAGGGACATGAATCTCCTGCATAAGTCTGTTTCTAACCTGGTCTGCCTGGATGCATCACGATGTAATTGTTTTTGACATGGAGTTCAAGCAAAGCATAGGGCCCCTTTGCTTTTTGGTTTCTCAAACCTGTTTAGTGTCTTGCCATCTTTATAGTATTAGCATTAAGAGCACTAAAAATAATCTTTAAAAACTCTATTTTTTAGTTATTTAATTCCATTTAAGACTTTTGAGAAAGTTATATTTGAGAACTCTTCAAATCCTGTGAAGATTAATTAAAAACAGAATCATGTACTACTATGTACAGTTATGCAACATAAGTCATCTTCTATCTATTTTTTAAAAAACCCCAAAACAAAGACTATGGGGGAAAAAAGAACATATTAAAAGTGAAACACCTAAAATAAGTCTTATTCTTCACCAACTTCAGTAGGAAATGAATGTTTAGTAGAGAAAATATGCTATATGGTGACTGCAGGAGCAAGCTTGCAGCTGACAGAGCTTCTAGATTATTGTTCCTGTCGATAGTCTAAAATTCTGACTATCACTGTAACCACAGAACAAGCCCAATCTGGCTCAACTTTGTGTAATAAAATGGTGAATTGTATTTTAGTTGCCAAGGACCCTCAGGTTGCAGGGTACCTGAGGGTACCCTGAGCATGCCCAGATGAGCCACGCGTGCAACCTAAGTGCTCAGACCAAGAAAGGGGGACCAAATTAAGAAAGATGGCATGATTCACGATCCAATCAGATTGAGCCCTGGCATAACCTCATGGCATGATCCAGTCAGATCATGCCTCCTGGCATTAATTACCTCATTGCAAGATCAAATCAGGTCATGCCTCATTACCCTCTGCCATAAAACCTGCCCCAAACCCCTGCTCACTGAGACAGATTTTGAGCATTGTCTCCTGTCTCCTTGCCAGCCAACTCGCAATAAAATCTTTTTTTTCTCAAAAGCCAGTGCCATAGTATTGACTTCTATGTACATAGGACAGTGAGCCCACTGCTTGCTTGGTAACACCACAACTTTACTTGAATAAGAAAATTTCAATAATAATTATATTTTAAAAATTCAAATTGAATCTTGTATTTCAGAAGTTCAGATTTATGATGGTGATATTTTGCTTGGGCTTTAGGCCAAATATTCATTTCAATATTAGGCCATTCAGCCTTCAGCTCAAATGTTCAGAGCTCTTCTAAAATATTATCTCTTCCTTAATGATTTCCTTGTAGAAATAGTAAAGAAATGAATATTTTTCTTGACACTTGCCTTCAGCACAAAAACTTTCCCATCTTTATCCTGTGATGCATGTGAACATTTATACAATTACAGGGTCAGTTTAGCCCATTTTTTTCTTGTTTCTTCTGAAACTAACTTTGTTTTCACACCCCCCCAATCACTCCTCTACTTTTAAAGTTGTATTTTGGATCTCAAATTCCTGAATCAGGAGGTATAGTTTCCAAGTTCTTTCTGCTCCTACCTACTATAATTGGCACTTGTGAGGTCTCGGGAAAAGCTCCTTGTACATGACACTGACCATAAACTACAGGAGAAAGATCCCCAGTAACTAGAAAATTAAGCAAGTTTTCTGCTATAATTCGAATCTTTTGTATAATAGTTTTGTTTTTTTTGAAATTTAAAGGAAAAATTTATTGAAGATCTGAAAAACAATTCCTAAAAGATCAACTTTTCCAGAAAACTAGCCACACAATGCAATGCGTCTATCAGGTTAAAACATGCATTAGACACAAATACAAAAACCATTAAACAAGCCACCGTTCTTCAACAATTTGAGCAAAGATAAAATGCCTAAGGAACAACATGGATGACTTGTAAAAGATGGGCTCTTTATTTTAAGCACCATAAAAAAGAAAAGGAGCACAAATGGGTGAGTGTGTTCAGTTATATACACCGAATTGAACCTTTGGTGCTAGGAATCAGAGCATTTTGTCATATAGCATTAACACATATTATAAAAGTGCGTAGTGTCAAAGGAATAGAGCCACCAGCGTTCAGAAGCAGCTTTGTCCACTAGGCAATAAACACTCTACAGCATGTCTCTCTGTTGTCCATCATTGAATTCACTGGTAGCAACTTTGAAATGAAAAAAAAAAAGAAAAGAAAAAGAGAGCTATAACCCCTTTTATTTTCTCTGTTTAAAATCAAACAGAAAACAAACATCAATTCTGTTATACACTAACATCTTCAAAGTACATTGTTTGTACAGGAGAAAGACTAAGAACAAAAATGTGTTTACAGAGATCCAAACACGTGACTGAGCGTGTCTCACACAGCTTTCCGATGGTACTCAGGAGGAGCCACTTCGTAGTCGCTGGCACTGAACAAAGTTGTAGAATTTTTTGCCAGGTACTTTAGGAAATCATGGAGATGATTCAGTAATAAAGCAAGGCTCTTCTCATCCAAAGGTGTATAGGCCAACATCGCTCCAATTCGTACAAATAATCTCAGTAGATGTGGCGCTCCACAGACTTGGGCCATGGGTGCGTCAGGGGGACCTGCGAGAATCTCGGCGTACTGTGGTCTCTCGAACTTGCAGAGCAGCTGAGTGCCCACCATCACGTTGAAGAGTTCTTTTATCCCTGCCACAACTTCGTTGACAGCATACTCCTTATTATCTGTGTTTCCAGGAGATTTCTTGTAATTTGCATAATCCTCTATAGTGGAATCCACATTCTTCTTGGCAGGAAGATAAAAGAGCTATTTTTGCCTGGTAATTAAGTCCCAGTCATCAACAAGCCAAGGTTTTAGCTCCTCAGGAATCTTTAACTTCAACTCTGTTTATGAATGTTTCTTCATTTTCAACAGTAGGATCTACCCGGGCCCCTTGCTTCCGAGGAGGCTGAGGTGTCTCGCTGGTACTGCCAAAATCTCCATTTCCAGGTGCTTTCTGCTTGTTCTTTTTTGTTTTCACGTCAACATTTTTCTGTTGCAGACCAGATGCCTTCTTTCCTGGGGCAGCCCCTCTCATCTTCCCCTCTGCATACTGCTCCTGATTGGCTGTTTGAAGTTCTCACTGTTTCTGCAGATTGGTGTCCACATATTTGAGTACTCTGCTCTCTGCAACCCATTCATCCCAATTTTTATTCCAACCACTGTAATGTATAAAGTATTTCACTTGTCTGTCCTTTATGGCAACCTTTACACACTTTGCTTCATAAAGAAGAGGCCCACGAAAGCACAGTACTCGCTCGCCCTCCTGGAATTCAGGCGTCGGGTCCTGTTTTGGCGCCATTTATAAATGATTCGCCGCCTCCTCCTTCTCCCACCACTCCCGACTACCTCCCTCTACTCTCCAGCCCCTGTATACTAGTTTTTAGAATGCATCCTTCTCTTTCCAGAAAATTCTTCCGTTTAAAGGCCAAACATAAAGACTAAGCTGGGCCGACAACCAATGTGCATATCTTATTTTTAAATTGTACAATAAATATAGACCATATTGCGGAAAATTTACAAAACAAAGAAAAAACCCACACACCACCGTCCAAACACAGCAATGTAATCATAATTTTTGATGAACTCCTCTCTGTTTTTCCCCTTTCGCTGCCCGCACCTTTGCAACCTTGACCTTCTCGCGCAGCCGGAACCGCGGCGCTGGGAGAGGCGCTGTCGCGCGCCGGGTGCGCCGTCGCCATGGTAACCGCGGAAGCTGGGGCTGGGGAGCGGTGAGTCTGGGGTCCCCGCGCCGGGGGTCGGGGTGGGCCCTCGAGGTGGCGTGGGAGGGGTTAGACGGCATCTTCCCTCCAGGTTGCTCGGGCAGGGGCTGGAGGGGAGTGGGCTGCAACCGCGGCGTCCTCGGGCGCTTCTTCTGCCCCGACCTTCGCGCCCTGGCCCCTGGCCCGCGGGCGGCCGCTCGGGCCTCCCGGGGTCCTCCCGGGCGATTCAGGCCGGCTGGCGAGCTCCACCGCCCCAAGTGACGGCTGCCGCTCCGCGGGACCGCCTGGACCTCGCGGTGGGGCTGCCACTCTCTATCCTGTTCCTCAGGCCTTCCCTTTGTTTAACCTGTGTGCCCAGAGCTGCCCTGGGGGTCCTTCTTCGTGAGCTGAGACTTAAAATCCTTAAGGGACTACAATTTTTTGAAGAAAAAATTCAATTGGCTTAAAAGGCCCTTCAGAATCTACTCCTCTGTCACAACTTCAGGCTGCCTCATCTGCCTTCTTGCCCTTTGTTTATGCTATTCCCATTACCTGGACCGCCCTTTTCTCCTCCTCAAAAGACCTCTTCTGGGAAGCTCCTCTGCACCCCACCCAGAGTCGAATTTATTAACACATCATCCTCTTTACTCTCAAAGCATTCTTTGCTTATTACCTTCCTTATATACCTTATCTTACTCTGTCAGTGCTTGATTTACTTATGTCTTCCCTACCAGTCTGCAAAGGCCTATGGGGCAGGGACCATGACCCGTGTGATTTTCTATTATTGATGCCTTAGCAGCCTCAAAAACATTCACACTCTGTAGTTCAAAGGAAAAGTTTATAGACTTGTTTTCCCACACTCATGTAGTGAGGCAGAGCAGGTGCTATTCTCATTTCAGAAAAATCGCATAATTAATAAATAACAGAATCAGGGCTAAGGCTATGCCATTCTACCTTCATAATTCTAGCTTCCCTTCTCCCCTTCCCATGCTCATATTCTCTATGAAACTTTGGTTATATATAGTGGGGTTACAATTTGATTCATGTTATTACTTTTGTGGGCAAAGAAAATGTAATTTATTTTTGTCTATGATCTAGTTTCTTTCATGTGCATTCACATTGATTACTAGGAAAGAAATAATGTAAACACCCAATTAGTTTCAAAGTTTAGCTCAATCTATAATTGATTTATTTGGCTAGCATTTAATTTCTCTTATATAAAAATGTTTAGGTTCTCAGATAACTTCTCTGATTCTCTCTTTGAGATGGTTCCCTGGGTATGTGGATGCATGTGGATGGCTCATGAAATCAGTTATGGAGAAGTGTCTGGGTCTCTGTGCCATCCCTGGGCTCTGGGGTGTTGTTCTTGGTACAGTGGGCTCTCCTTCCCCTTATGATGTTCTTAAGTATAACATTTTGCTCATGTGCCTTGGGAACAGTTCTGTTCTGGTTTGGTCAAAACTCAGTGGCTTTCCTTAGCTCTCATGCTCCCTGGATCACTCAGTTGCACTGAGCTCCTGGCATGACTCCCCTTCAGCTCTGACTGGAATGGTTTGCTCTATAGCCCTCCCTCCCTACAGAGCTCCTTGCCTGCTCCAGTGACAGGGTGGCAGCAAGCCGCCCCAGCAAGACTCTGCATTACTTGTAGGTCTCATATATGTCCGAAAGCCATGGCCCTCAAACTTTTTGGTCTTAGGACTCCATTATATTCTTAAAAATTATTTATCCCAAAGAACTTTCCTTTATGTGGGTTAATCTATCAATAGAGTAAGTATTAGAAATATAGTAAGAATTAGAAATTAAAGTGAGAATTTTAAAGGGTTTATTAATTCTTTTAAAAATAACAAAAATAAGCTCATATGTTAACATAAATCACAAATTTCTTATGGAAATAACTATTTACAAAACAAAAAAATTAGTAAGAAAGTGGCATTGTTTTTCATTTCTGCAAATGTCTTTAATTTCTGGCTTATAGGAGGCGAAGTCTCATGTCTGCTTCTTCATTCTGTTGCGATATGTTGTTTTCATTGAAATATATAAAGAAAATCCTCCTCCCATAGAGATATAGCTGGAAAAGGGAGTAGTATTTTAATAGCCTTTTCAGATAATTGTGCATATTTTTCTTTGTGACTATACCATAACTTGACAAGAGGTAGTTTTTTAAAGGCAGGCTAGTTGCACTGTGGAATCCAAAGCCATATTGGTGAACTTTTCATACTGTGTTACATTAAAATCTAGTGGTCTGTCTTATACTTTGAATGGATCTTTTATCCATGCCCAATTTTGTAATATCATGGAAAATGGTGGGGAGTGAAGCAAATCTTGTAGAACAGTAAAGCAGCCATTGGTAAATTTAGGTTCATTTAGTTACAGTGATTTTCCAAATGTTAACACATTTCATGCTATAATATAAAAAAAAAACACTTTTGTTAATATCACCACTGATCTCATCAGAAAAGCATTGGGAAGCTGTTACACTCATAGTGGCTGACATATGGCCACTGTAAATTTTCTAAAATGCTAATTGTATTAGAGTTTTCCAGAGAAACAGAACCAATCTGATATATATATATATATATATATATATATATGGTTGGCCTTCTGTATTGTATGTTCAGCATCTGTGGATTCAACACCGTGGATTGAAAAGATTTGTATTCGGAAAAAAAATGGATGATTGTGTCTGTACTGAACATATACTGACTTTTTAGTGTCACTATTCCCTAAATAATACAGTATAACTACTATTTATGTAGAATTTATATCATAAATAGGTATTATAAATAATCTAGAGATGATTTAATGTATATGAGAGGATGTGCATAAGGTACAAGATGCAATACTACACCATTCTGTATATGGGACTTGAGCATCTGTGACTTTTGGTATTCTTGGGAGTCCTAGAACCAATACCCCATGGATACTGAGAGACAACGATGTATATGAATAAACAAAAAGATTTATTATAAGGATTGGCTCATGTCATTATGGAGGCTGAAAAGTCTCAACTGCAGTGGGCAATCTGGAGACCCAGGAGAGCTGTTGGAATAGTTCCAATCTAAGTCTGAGGGCTTGAGAAATAGGAGAGCCGTATAAGACTCATGTAAGTTCAAGTCCAAGCCTGAGCCTGAAGGCAGGAGAAAACCAATGTCTCACTTTGAAGATAGGCAGACAGAGTGAATTTTTTCTTAATCTTTTCTATTCAGGCCTAGTTATTTTTCATAAACATATGTTTTTTATGTTAACATGTAATTGTTTTAAGATGAATTGATAAATATTTCTCATTTTTATTTCTAATACAAAAATATTGATAGATATAGCCCATATAAACAAAATTCTTTGGGGTTCTCAATTTTTAAGACTGTAAAGAGATTTGAGATCAAAGAATTTGAGAACTGCTACCCTAATCATGTTGATTATGGGCTGATATGGAAATTAAGCTCCTTTCAAGGGTATACCAAGAGTATCTTTGAGTATTCTGGCCTGAATCATATTTCCAGGTTTGATAAAGTTTGTTTCCAAATCTCTGAATTAACCTGGGATCAGATTGATTTTTAAGATGTGGAATAATCTGTCTGTAATCAAGTGTCTGGTGGTAGTAGAGTAGAAAATTATTTACTCATCCTATACAGGAATACTTTATATTAAAAAAGAAGAAGAGGCCAGGCAAGGTGGCTCACGCCTGTAACCCTAACATTCTGGGAGGCTGAGGCAGGCGGATCATTTGAGCTCAGGCGTTCGAGACCAGCCTGAGCAAGAGGGAGACCCCGTCTCTACTGAAAAAAAAAAAAATAGAAATAAATAATCTGGACAACTAAAAATATATATAAAAAAATTAGCTGGGCATGATGGCACATGCTTGTAGTCCCAGCTACTCGGGAGGCTGAAGCAGTAGGAGTGCTTGAGCCCTGGAGTTTGAGGTTGCTGTGAGCTAGGCTTGACACCATGGCACTCTGACCCAGACAGCAGAGTGAGACTCTGTCTCAAAAAGAAAAAAAAAAAAAAGAAGAAGAAGAAGAAAAGAAATAGTAGCATTACCATCTTTTCTTTTGCTTCATGAATGACTTTGCTGGAGGATTGTTGATAACATAATGATGATGATGGTAGGTTCTACTTACTGACTGCTCACCATGTGCTTTTTTTTCATTTCAGCATATTATGGGGGTACAAATGTTAGGGTTACATTTATTGCCCATGTCCCCTCTCCCCCTTCGAATCAGAGCTTCAAGCATAATCATCGCCCAGACGTTACACATCTCACTCATTATGTTTGTATACACCCATCTCCTCCTCCCCCCTCCCACCTGCCCGACACCTGATAAATGTTATTTCTGTATGTCAACTTAGGTATTGATCCATTAATACCAATTTGCTGGTGAGTATATATGGTGCTTGTTTTTTTTTTTTTTTTTTTTTTTTTTTCGTTCCCCTTTCTTTCTGCGCGGCGGCCGCCGGCCCTGGGTGGGGAGCTCCCCCTCTTTAAAGGATCAGTTTAAATACCATCTCATTTTATTTTATTTTATTTTATTTTATTTTATTTTTGAGATAGAGTTTCACTTCATTGCCCAGGCTAGAGTGAGTGCCATGGCATCAGCCTAGCTCACAGCAACCTCAAACTCCTGGGCTCAAGCAATCTTCCTGCCTCAGCCTCCCGAGTAGCTGGGACTACAGGCATGTGCCACCATGCCCGGCTAATTTTTTCTATATATATTATTTGGCCAATTAATTTCTATTTATGGTAGAGACGGGGATCTCGCTCTTGCTCAGGCTGGTTTTGAACTCCTGACTCTGAGCAATCTGCCTGCTTCGCCCTCCCAGAGTGCTAGGATTATAGGCGTGAGCCACCGCGCCCGGCCTATGGTGCTTGTTTTTCCATACTTGAGATACTTCCCTTAGTAGAATGGGTTACAGCTCTATAAAGGAAAATACAAGAGGTGCTATATCACCATTGTTTCTTAAAGCTGAATAGTACTCCATGGTATACATATACTACATTTTATTAATCTACTCATTTATTGATAGGCACTTGGGTTGTTTCTACAACTTTGCAATTGTGAATTGTGCTGCTATAAACAGTTGAGTGCAGGTGTCTTTTTTGTAGAGTGTCATTTGATCTTTTGGGTAGATGCCCAGTAGTGGAATTGCTGAATCAAATGGTAGATCTACTTGTATTACTTTAAGGTATCTCCATATTGCTTTCCACAGAGGGTGAACTAGTTTGCAGTCCCACCAGCAGTGTAGGAGTGTTCCTATCTCTCTGCATCCAGGCCAACATTATTGTTTGGGAAATTTTTGATAAAGGCCATTCTTACTGGAGATAAGTGATATCTCATTGCAGTTTTGATTTGCATTTCCCTGATGATTAGAGATGTTGAACATTTTTTCATATATTTGTTGGTCACTATTCTGTCTTCTTTTGAAAAATTTCTGTTCATGTCCTTTGCCCACTGTTGATAGGGTTGTTTGATTTTTCCTTGCTGATTTTCCTGAGTTCTAAATAGATTCTAGTTATCAGCCCTTTATCAGATGTGTAGCTTGAAAATTTTCTCCCATTCTGTGGGTTGTCTGTTTGCTTTCTTGAGAGTTCCTTTGGCTGTGTAGAAGCTTTTTGATTTGATCAAGTCCCATTTATTTATTTTTGTTGCTGTTGTGATTGCCTTTGGGGTCTTCTTCATAAATTCTTTGCCTATGCCAATGTCTACAAGAGTATTTCCAATGTTTTCCTCTAGAATTCTAATAGTTTCACACCTAAGGTTCAAGTTGTTACCCAGTGTGAGTTGATTTTTGTGAGAGGTAAAAGGTGTAGGTACTGTTTCAGTCTTCTACATGTGGCTATCCAGTTTTCCCAGCACCATTTATTGAATAAGGATTCTTTTCCCCAGTGTATGTTTTTGTCTGCTTTGTCAAAGATTAGTTGGCTCTATGAGGATGGTTTTATATCTGGGTTCTCTGTTCTGTTCCACTGGTCAATGTCCCTGTTCTTGTGCCAGTAAAAAGCTATTTTAATGACTATAGCCTTGTGGTATAGTTGAAGTCTGGTAAATGTACCTCCTATTTTGTTTTTATTGCCTAGGATTGATTTTGCTATACAGGGTCTTCTCTGGTTCCATATGAAGCGTTAAATTATTTTTTCTGTGAAAAATGATGATGGTATTTTGATAGGGATTCCGTTGACTCTGTAGGTCACTTTGGGTAGTATAGACAGTCTGGCCTTTGAAATATAACTGTAAACTTGCTGAGACTTGTTAGGAAAGATTTTATTTTGTTTTCTTCTTAAAAGAGATGTGAAGTGGTTGATATCACTGGTATCTTCTGGGAGATTCCCCTTCTTCCTGCCATGAATGAAGATGCGATAGTGTTACCAAAAGTTTGGCACTTGTCCCTGAGGCCACATCAGAAGAATGTGGACAAGTGGTTTGAGGAGAAGGAAAGAGAAGCTTATTAATTTGCCGGCAAATGAGGAGGATGGAAACTCTCAAAGTACCATTGTCCTGTCCATGATCAGAAATACAGAGCTTTTAAAGGGAGTTTTCAGCTTGGGGCTATAGTTGTTCAATTATAGTTGATGGTCTTGATCTACCTCATCTCTGGCAAAGATAGTCTTGTGGCCTCTGTGTGGACAGTTCTGTTGAGCCATTTCCTATGGTAAAAAGACAACAACAACAACAACAAAGAATATTCCCTTGCCCTACTGGCCTCGGGCAGGGATACATATTTTAATTCCCAAATAGAGTGTGTGTGTGTGCTTGTGTGTGTGTGTGTGTGTGTGTGTGTGTGTGTGTTTAAGACAGCTTGTAAAACATTTTACCCTTTTCCAGGCCATTCCCTCTGTTACAATAGCAGGAGTTATGCCAGCTATCTTGTTATCATGAGGCAACAGTCATGAAGATGAAAGTCCTACATGCTAAGTATGATAGAGTAGAATGATAGAAAGAGCTTGGATATATATTTTTTGAGCTGATGAACCATCTCCGTCTTTATATTTCTTGTTATATGGGAAAAGAATCTCCTACTTTTAAATAGTCAATCTTGTTTGGCTTTTGTATTATTTATAATCAAAGAATTCTGAATTTTAACAGCTTACAACTATTATACACATTTATAGAAGGAAGAGGTTAATGTAGGACTATAGTAGATAGAGAAGGTTCTAATATTTTACCAATTTAAAATGCATATCACACTTGTCTTTCCACTATTAGCCCATTTCTTTTATTTACTTCACCATAGAACTAAATGACAGTTTTCTTTTCTTTCAGCACTGTTTACTTCTATGTTCAGAAAACTGTGACCTATTTTGTAAATGTTTGCTTTAAACACAGCCACACTGATTCATTTGTGCATTGTCTATGACTCCTTTCATTCTACAACTGCAGAGTTGAGTAGTTGCAATTGAGATAGTAGGGCCACAAGCCTAAAATATTTGCCATCTGGCCTTTTATTCCTGCTTTAGAATGTTGTTCGATTTTCCTGGGGCCTTTATTGTCTTTGTCATTCTCTGCAGTACTATTTCAGTGTCATCTCCTTGACTTTCCTATTTCAAGTTTTTTCTCTTCACTTCCCTGTTACTTCCTAGCACTTCACCCTGTTTATTTCCTTTGAAACACTTATCACAATCTAAAATTATCTCATTTGTTTTATTTTTTTATTACCTGTGTCCAATCACTGGAATATAGCTTCATGATGGGAGGGACCTTTTCTGGTTTGTTGAATCCTCAGGACCTGACACAGTGCCTGGCATATAGGAAGGAATGCAATAAATAATGAATTGTATGAGTGAATAATTAAAGTGCTTATTCTCATTAATTCAGACTTTTACAATAACTGTCTTAATTCGTCTTTCTTTTTTGCCTCTATTCTCTTATTCCTCTAATATATGTTACCCAGGGTTGTCAGATCAATCTTGAAACATGCTTAGTTTCCAGCACTAAAACCTTTGGCTACCCCCCCCCCTAGTTGCCTGCAGAATCAAGTTCAGCTTTATTGATCCAATGTCAGCCTTTCTTTAAGTGTATACTTCTGCTTATTTTGAATGGCCTACACTTAACCAAATTGGCCAACTTACTCATTCCCAAAAATACATGTGACTTTTGCTTTGCTGCTTTATGTGTTAATCTATCTAGAATTCCCTTCCTTCTGATTTCTGAAAGACAAAGTCTTGCCCATTCTTTATGGCCTAACTTAAATGCCATATTCTTTACTAAATATATCATTCCCTTTATCTCATTTCTTGCATCTTCCTTTCTTCCTCCACCCCCTACTCCTGTAAACATTATCTTGAATCTTATGTTCAATCTTGCTTTTATTCTTTAAAATTTTTTTTAAATATATGTGCTTGTATTCCTGTAATGTCTATTTAACTTTAATTGCTTTTAACATGGAAGGACTATATCTTGATAGGTATAATTTTAGGATTTACTTTTCTCATATAATATTATATTCTTAAGATTCATTTATACTGTTGTATGTCTTAGTTATTTATTGCTATATAACAAATTAATCCAAACTTGGTAGTTAGAAAAAACATACATTCATTATCTTATAGTTTCTGTGGGTCAGGAATCTGGGCATAGCGTAGCTGGACCCTCTACTTCAGGGTCTCTCAGGAGGCTATATAATCAGGCTATATAAGTGTTGCCTGAGACCTCCGTCATCTCAAGGTGTAACTGGGACAGATCTACTTCCAAACTCACTCAGTGGTTGTTGGCAGAATTAAGTTCCTCAGGGGCTATTGGACTGAGGGCCAGGATTCTTACTGGCTTTTTGTCAGAGGTCCCCCTCAGTTTCTTGAAAGATGGCCCTCTCCCTCACAGTACATGAGAAGTGCCAGGGAAAAAATATCAGCAAGACAAATGCCACAGTCTATCGTAACTGAAAACGGAAGTGACATCCTCTCACTGTTGCTATACTCTCTTCATCAGAAGCTATTTGGTATGTCCAGTCCACACGCAAGGTGAGGAAATTACACAAGGGTGTGAATACCCAGGGGCAGGGGTGGGGCATTGGGAGCGATATCAGAAGCTGCATAGCATACCACTGTAATTTATTCCTTTTAACTGCTGTATACTATTTTGTATAAATATGCCACAGTTTATGATCCTGTTCCTAGGCATTGTTTTTTCCTTTCAGGTTTTTCACTGTTATGAACAGTGATGCCACAAACATTATTGTAAATATGAGAGGATTATGGTACTCTTCTCTGAATCATTCCCAATTTAATATGTGTTCTGCCAGAGTGAGCACTATTAAGACTTCTTGGTTAATTCTACCTGGAATTAAACTTATCCCTTCTAAACTCCCATAGCCTTTCATTTGTTATGGTGCTTAACCACTTGTCACCTTTTATTACACTTACTTTGTGTATGTCATGTTTTCTCCCTTGAAATAGTAAGTTGTTGAGGGCAGGAAGTAAATTTGATTCTTTTTTATGATTTACATAGTGCCTACACAGCACTTAGTATATTAACAAGCTTTTGGTAAGTATTACTGAGTAAATGAATTCTGTCTAAATGTCAATGCCTAATTTTTAAGGTCTTTATAACCTGGCTTCTGTGATCTAATTATATTTCTCATTTCTCCCCTGCAGGGATACTTGTTTAGGCAGGTGGGCCACTTTAGCACTTTTTCAATTTTTTCGTAATGAATTTAGCTTACATTGATCTCTTTCTTCTCCTGTTCCTATTGAATTCACTATTTATATCATACCCTTTTTGTTTTAGTGTATACTCAGACAGTGTATTTATTCATAATAGGCACACAATAATAACTTTATTGATTGGCTGAATTAGTTTATAATTATTTTCAAGTAGTTAAGTATTTTCATTTCATCTGTATTGTCAGTTGCCTGAGCAAATAAATAAATACTGATTTGAGTAGATTTTTATTTATTTATTTTTAAATCTTAGGTATTTTTGGAGTTAATGGAGTCAGAAGGACCCCCAGAGTCAGTGAGTTCAGAAAAATCAGTATTTTTCTCACAGCAAGAAGAAGATGATGAAGAAGGAGCAGCCCAAGAACCAGAGGAAACAGTTGCCACGAACCCTCTCTTACAACCTGCTCTCACAGGGGATATAGCAGGTTTGCAGAAGATTTTTGAAGACCCTGAGAATCCTCATCATGAGCAGGCCATGCAGCTACTCTTGGAAGAAGACATCGTTGGGAGAAATTTGTTGTATGCAGCTTGCATGGCTGGGCAAAGTGATGTGATTAGAGCTTTGGCAAAATATGGTGTGAATCTGAATGAAAAAACCACCAGAGGTATTTTTCTTTTTTTCTCTCATTAGTCTTACTTATCACTACCTAAAAATGCCATGTACAGTTTTTTAGGTTGTATAAATTTGATGTGCCTGCTTCATACTTTACATATATTGTATATGTATATGTATACGTACATATAAGCATATGTATGTGGGTATATGTAAATATATCAATGTTGATATTATATAGCATGGTGTTTTAGAACACAGACTTCACTATTTATTAGCTATGTGATTTGGCAAGTTACTTGATTTTTTTTGTCTCTTTCTTCATCTGCCAAATGGGGATAATAATTGTATTTTTCTTTAGGATGTTATGAAAATTAAATAAGATAATAAATATAAATATTGCAGTGCTTGGCACATAGTAAATTGGTATGTAGTAAGTGCTTAATAGTATTGATTATCTCTTTCTTTTGAAGATTTATTAGCTTTTAACAATCATTATCTAATTAGCTTTTTAATTTAGTTTTTTTTTCAGATTACAAATCTAATACAAGGTCATAGTAGAAAATTAAAAATAATGATCTTTAGGAAATAAAGAATATATATTCTCTTCATGCTCACATAGAACATTTTAAAATACTGACCATATGTTGGACCATAATGGAAGTCTCAACAAATATTCAAAGAATCTGTAGCATGCAGCCTTTGGTCTGCTACCACAACAAAATAAAATTAGAAAATAGTAACAAAAATATAACTGAAAATCTTCTATAATTTTGAAAACAAGAACATACTTTAAAATTATCTTTTGGTTACAGAAGGTATAATGGAAATTAAGAAATGTTTAAGTGGCAATAGGATCATTGTGTGTCAGAATCTGTGAGATACAACTAAAATTTAATTATAGTTTAATGCACTCATTAGAATATAAGAAACATTAAAAATCAGTAAGCAAAGCCTTTTACTTAAGAAGTTAGAAAAATAACAACTGAGTAACCAAAGAAAGTAGAGGAAAAATAATAGAGTAAAATAATGACATTGAAAATAAAGGAACAATACAGAGAATCAACAATACCAAAATCTGGTTCAGTGAAAAAGACAGAGCTGAAAAACCTTTGTTAATATTGATCAGAGAAAGAGAGAGAGACAGAGAGCACAAATAATATTTGGAATTGAAAAAAATAGAATATTAACACAGAAAAAAACTAAGATTAAAAACATTATTAGAAAACATTATGAATAACTTCATGCAATACATTTGAAAATGTGGATGAAGTGGACAAATTTCCAGTAAAATATAAATTACCAAAATGGATTCAAGACAAAAATAGAATTCTTGACTAGATCAATGGTTATTAAAGAAATCAAAGAAGTAATCAAAATCTGCCTCCCTAACACCCTGCTCACCACCAAATTCCAGATTCAAATGTTTTTAAAGGTAAGGTTTACTAAATGTTTGGGGAAAAGGTAATCTCTAGTTTGTAGAAATGTTCTAGAGAGAGTTGGAAAGCTGTTCAACTTATTTTATGAGAAAGATAACTTTTATAGAGAAATTGGTTTAAAGACAGTACTAGAAAGGAAATTTATAGGCTGATCACATTTAATAACATAGATGGAAGCATCCTAAATAAACAGGTGAATCTAAATTGAATGTAAATAACAAGTTGAATCTAAGATATATTTAAAAGTTTATTGGAGGCCAGGCATGGTGGCTCACGCCTGTAATCCTAGCACTCTGGGAGGCTAAGGTGGTGGATCGCTCAAGGTAAGGACTTTGAAACCAGCCTGAGCAAGAGCAACACCCCATCTCTACTAAAAATAGAAAGAAATTAATTGACCAACTAAAAATATATAGAAAAAATTAGCCAGGCATGGTGGCATGTGCCTGTGGTCCCAGCTACTCGTGAGGCTGAAGCAGGAGGATTACTTGAGCCCAGGAATTTAAGGTTGCTGTGAGCTAGGCTGATGCCATGGCTCTTTAGCCCGGGCAACAGAGTGAGACTGTCTCAAAAAAATAAATAAAAAAAATAAAAGTTTATTGGAGAGTAGATTTTAAGTGTTCTCACTACAAAAAAATAAGTCTGTGAGGTAATGCATATTTTAATTAGCTCAACTAGCCATTCCACGATGCATGTGTATTTCAAAACATTATACATGGTAAATATATGAAATTTTTATTTTTCAATTAAAAATAAATAAGTAAATAAAATCACTTTCATCATACAGACAAAATTTATTGGACAAGGTTGGGCTTATCCCATGAATGAAAGGATGGTTTTAACATTAGAAAAAAATTAATGTAATTCACTATATTAAAAGATTAAATAAGCAAAACATAATCATGTCAATAGATATAGAAAAGTCACTTGAAGAAAATATAGCAGTCATTCATGATGAAAGCTCTTAGGGAAATAGGAAAAGAAGAAAACTTCTTTTTTTTTTTTTGAGACAGAGTCTCGCTTTGTTGCCCAGGCTAGAGTGAGTGCCGTGGCGTCAGCCTAGCTCACAGCAACCTCAAACTCCTGGGCTCGAGTGATCCTTCTGCCTCAGCCTCCCGAGTAGCTGGGACTACAGGCATGTGCCACCATGCCCGGCTAATTTTTTATATATATATCAGTTGGCCAATTAATTTCTTTCTATTTATAGTAGAGACGGGGTCTCGCTCTTGCTCAGGCTGGTTTTGAACTCCTGACCTTGAGCAATCTGCCTGCCTCGGCCTCCCAGAGAGAAGAAAACTTCTTAAGGGTGTCTATCAAAAACCTGAAGCAAACTTACCTAATACTGAATTTGCAGAAGTGTTCTTCAAAATCAGAAATAAGACTATGATATTCACTATCATGGTTTCCAGTCATCATTATAATGGAGGTCTGAGTAAGTGCAGTTAAGACAAGGAAACTAGAAACAGTAACAGTACTGTGCTACAGCCACCTCTGGAGAGCTGATTGTTAAGTTTTCAGGGGGTTTGTGAATTGGTTGATGTCATGTTGGTAGCTTAAAATTGACTGTGCCGGGTTATTCATCATGGTAGTTGGCTAATGGTACAAATCAGGGCTTTTCCCTCCAGTGAACTGGTTGTTACACATTTCCCAGCCCACTACTCAATATAAGGATTAGAGTAGATGAAACAAAACTCTTGTTATCCACAGGCACATAGACTTAAATTTAAGGGAATCTACTGTTAGTTCTAATAGAGTTTAGCAAGAATATGAACATAAGACCAATATTCCAAATCAGTAGTTTTCTATATATCATCACTATTCAATTAGAGAATGTAGTTGAAATAAAGTTCTTGTTTGTAACAAAATGATAAAGAATCTAGGAATAAATCTGACGAAGGAATTTCAAGACATTAATGGCAAAAATGTAAAACTTTATTGAATTACATCAAAGAAGACCCAACGTATGTATATATTTCAGGTGGTGAAAGTAAATATCATAAATATATCAATTCTTACAAATTAATTTATCAATCTAGTTAATATCCCAGAAGATTTTTTTTTTTTAATGCAAACCAAGAAGCTGACCCTACATTTCAGTGGGGAAGATGATGAACTATTTAGTATGTGATATCTGAGAATGTTGGTTTATTCAACTGGAAAAAAAGTAAAATTAAGCTGAGCTCAGTGGCTCACTGCCTGTTTTGGGAGGTCAAGGTGGAAGGATTGCTTGAGGTTAGGAGTTCAAGACCAGCATAGGCAACATAATAAGACCCTGTCTCTACAAAAATAAATAATTAAATAAATAAAAATTATAATTAGATACCTACTTCATACCTTGCATAAAAATCAATTATGGGTGCTTGTAAGATATGAATGTGAATAGCAAGAATTTTAAACTTTCCGAAAAATAAATATGGAAGTTATATTCTTGACCTATTACAGGATTTCTTAAAAGAAGACATAAAGGATACAACCACCAAGGGAAAAGATTGACATGCATAAAGATTAAAAATTACACACAAAATATACCATAAACAAGTGACAAAATAAGTCACAGAGTAGGAGAAGATATTTGCATTATCTTCTCAACTTACAAAGGATTTATCTGTGTAAAGACAGTGTACTCATCAATGAGAAAAATTCAACTCTATAGAAAAATAGATGAAGGATAGGAACAATTCATGGAAGAGGAACTCTCATGGCCAATAAATGTATGAAAATATGCTCAACTTCACAATTAAAATGGAAATTTAAATAATCAGCTACCACTAGTCATCAGATTGGCAAAAACTTAAATACTTGACAGCATTAAGTATTGGTGAAGATATAGGAAATAGAAATTCCTTTACTGGAGGGAGTGTAAATTGGTGCAATGATGTTTAAGAACATTTATATGAAGTTGCAAATGGATATACACAATGATCCAGAATTCCATTTCTAGATATATATCTTTAGGAAACTTTCACATATGTTGATGATTATTCAAGTATTGCTTATAATAGTGAATAATTGGAAAGAATGTAAATCAATAGGTGGTAAATAAATGCATTATGAGCTGTCATATTATGGAATATTACACAATAATTAAAAGCAATGAATTAGCCCTTTAGGTATTAAAATGGATACCACTCAAAAACATAACATTGAGATAAAAAGCAAATTACAAAAGGATCCTATAATAGATTGGTTAAGAGCATAGATTTTAGAGCCAGCCTGTCTGGCTTCAAATCCCAGCTCTTCTACTAACTTGGCTGTGTGACTTGGGCAAATTATGTAACCTTTCTGTGTTATGGTTTATTCATCTATAAAAATGGGGATAATAGTAATATCTAAAAACCATTGTATATAAAGGAAAAAGAAAGCCCCAAATCAATATTTGACAGCATGCTCCTAGCACTATTCAAGTGAGGAGGTGGTATTCTGACTAGTTGACATGAATATTGCCATCCTTTTGGTAGGTATTTCCCAGTGTGTGGGGATAGGTTTACTTGATGATATACTCTGAGATAATCTATTTCTTCATTCTGATTTTATGCTCACCATGAAATCTTCTCATTTAGAGAAATTCCCAAACTAAATGTTGAAGGTGCATCCTGGTTTCTTCTTGCTGCATATA